TTCTTCATTCTCAATCTCCCCCATTCTTCATTCTCAATCTCCCCCATGCTTCATTCTCAATCTCCCCCATGCTTCATTCTCAATCCCTTCCTGTCCCTCATATAAGTTTCTGATATGTATCCCTGCCCCCGTCCCTTTTTTCTGATCTCTATTCCCTACGGCCCTCGTTCCTCTTCCGTTTCCCTGTCGATCCTCTCCCTGATCCTAACCACTCCCCCCTGTTCCTACGCCTCCCTATCCTTCCTTCCTGCTCCCGGATCTTATTGCGTTGTACCTGAGCTCCTATGGAATCTGTCCTTCATTCTGATCCCGATGGCCCCATTGGCGGTTCGGATCTTACCTCCGATGTCTGATGTTCCCGATCCCTCCGTCTGGGCCCGCGCTCTGTGCCTCCTGGAGGCAGGTTCGATTTGAGGCCAGTGTCGGAGAGGAATGTTGCGCAGCGACACAGAACGGAAAAGCAAGGCTACTTGCGGGGGGCCTGCTTCCCGTGCCGTGACGATTCTGGAATGCCGCGATGCTTTGTCTCGAGCGCGGAGGGCCGTTGCTGAGAGGCTGGCGCTGGGCGCTGTGCTCTGTGCTCGCTTCAGAAAGGACTTCAGGGCTTTTACGGAAGGTTCACCCTCGGCTGATTTCCCCCTCCCCCCTCCCCCTCCCCCTCCCCCGTTCCAGGAAATGTAAGGCAGATTGCACCAGTGCCCAGCGGAGGACGTGATCCGTATAAAAGAATCGTATAAAGTCCCGAGGATGTTGCCGGAAGGGCGGAGGCTGAGGAACACGTTTCCCTCCTCCTCCTGGGGAGCAAGACTTGTCCCGGTGTCAAAATCTTTTTTTTTCCCCAGACGGAGATGACAGGGGTGCCATGTCGAGTTTCCACTCTGCTGAGGAAGGAGGTGGGGGGGCATGCGGGGAGTTGGTGGGAGCCAGGGTCAAAGAACAAAGAAAATTACAGCACAGGAACAGGCCCTTCGGCCCTCCAAGCCTGAGCCGATCCAGATCCTCTAACTAAACCTGTCGCCTATTTTCCAAGGATCTGTATCCCTCTGCTCCCTGCCCATTCATGTATCTGTCTAGATACATCTTAAACGACGCTATCGTGCCCGCCTCTACCACCTCCGCTTGCAATGCGTTCCAGGCACCCACCACCCTCTGCGTAAAGAACTTTCCACGCATATCTCCCTTAAACTTTTCCCCTCTCACCTTGAAATCGTGACCCCTAGTAATTGAGTCCCTCACTCTGGGAAAAAGCTTCTTGCTATCCACCCTGTCTATACTTCTTATGATTTTGTAGACCTCAATCAGGTCCCCCCTCAACCTCCATCTTTCTAATGTAAATAATCCTAATCTACTCAATCTCTCTTCATAGCTAGCGCCCTCCATACCAGGCAACATCCTGGTGAACCTCCTGTGCACCCGCTCCAAAGCATCCACATCCTTTTGGTCGCCGAACGTACGCTGAGTTCGAGTTGTCGATTTTTTTTTTGTTTTAAACTGAAGTAAAATCTAATACGATTCCAACAGGACGAGATGGGGATCGAGAACGAGGATAGGGCAGCAGTTCAGACTAATGTGGGGGGGGCGGGTCACGCTCGAAAGTGTGTGTGAGGTAGGAGTGAGATGAGGAGCGATGTCTTCACCGAGACAGCGGGGAGCCTGCGGGATTCTCTGCCACAGAAAGTGGTCGGGGCTGAAGTGTTGGAGAAGGTTATCGAACATTTACCAAGAGATCTTGATCCATTGGGTCGATGGGCCAAGGAGTGGCAGATTTAATTTGGATAAATGCGAGGTGTTGCATTCTGGTAAAACAAACAAGGGCAGAACTTGGGTAGTGTTGTAGAACACAGAGATCTCGGGGTTCAGGGACATAATTCTTTGAAGTTTGTGCCACACATAGACAGGGGGGTTAAGAAGGTGTTTGACACGTTTGCCTTCATCGCTCAGAGCTTTGAGTGTAGAAGTTGGGGACGTCACATTGAGGTTGTACAGGGACGTTGGTGAGGCCTGTTCTGTTACAGGAAGTACGTTATTAAACTGGAGAGAGTTCAGGAGAGATTTACCAGGATGTTGCCGGGAGTGGTGGTTTGAGTTATAAGGAGAGGCTGGACAGGCTGGGACCATTTCTACTGGAGTGTGGGAGGTTGAGAGGTGACCTTGTAGAGGTTTATAAAATCACGAGGGGAATAGATAAGGTGAATGGCAGGAGTCTTTTTCCCTAGGGGTTGGGGGGCATTTGAAGAATAGGGGGCATATTTTTAAGGTGAGAGGAGAGAGACTTAAAACCGACACGAGGGGCAACTTTTTTACACAGACAGAGTGGTCTATGTGTGGAATGAACTTCCAGAGGAAGTGGTGGATGTGGGTACAGTTACAATGTTTAAAAGAACATTTGGGATAAGTACGTGGATAGAAAAGGTTTGGAGAGATATGGGCCAGGAGCGGGCAGATGGGATTAGTTTAGTTTGGGATTATGGTCGGCACAGACTGGTTGGGCCGAAGGGTCTGTTTCCATGCCGTACGGCGACATTCGCCGTTTCTTGAGAGGGAGTCGGATATAATTTGGAAGGAATCGAAGGGAGTCGGGGCAGAGGAGAAAGTTAGGAACAGGGAAGTGAGTCGCTCGAATTCCCTGCCCCAGGAAAGAGGTGGAGGCCAAAGTGTTGAAAGTTTCCGGGGAGAAGGTTGGGAGCGGGGGACCGTTTTGGACCATGGGCCAGTGGCGCTGTACAGTCTGCCGGGAATGTGGCTGCCTCCCCGCTCCACCACCGCCTGCTCTCACCCTCCCTCTCCCTCTCTCTTTCTCCGTTGTGTCCCGCAGGCCAAGGGCAAGGCGAAACCCAAAGCCCCAATGTCCTCCAGCAAGGCGGCGAGTGGGGCACGGCGCCGACGAACTCGCTGTCGCAAGTGCGATGCCTGCCAGAAGACAGAGTGTGGGGAGTGCCACTTCTGTAAGGACATGAAGAAATTCGGGGGGCCCGGACGCATGAAACAGTCCTGCATGCTCCGGCAGTGCACAGCGGTGAGTTCACCACCCACCATCCTTTACACTGTTCCCTCCCCCCTCCCCGATAAAACATTCTCGGGGACAGGAACAGCACAGGGTTAGATACAGAGTAAAGCTCCCTCTACACTGTTCCACCGCCATCAAACACTCCGAGGGACAGGGACAGCACGGGGTTAGATACAGAGTAAAGCTCGCTCTACACTGTTCCACCCCCATCAAACACTCCCAGGGACAGGGACAGCACGGGGTTAGATACAGAGTGAAGTTGCCTCCCTGTTCATTCACCTGTTTTTTCTGTCTCCCTCTCCCTCCCTCTGTGCCTGTGGGTGGAGGCAGCCTGTACTCCCTCACACGGCCGTCTGCCTGATGTGTGGGGACGCCGGTAAGGAGGAGTCTGTCGAAGGCGAGGCCGAGAAGTTCAAGCTGTCGCTGATGGAGTGCACCATCTGTAATGAGATTGTCCACCCGGGCTGCCTGAAGGTGAGAAACCGTCTCTCTCCCACCCTCCGATCCTCGTGCCTGAAGCAGGCTGCGTTTCAAGTGTCCCCTCTTCCGTCAGTCTCACCCCCCCACCCTGTCTGTCTGTCTCTCTCTCTCAGGTCTGCGCGGCGGATGGAGTCATTAATGACGAGATTCCCAACTGCTGGGAGTGCCCCAAGTGCCAGCTCGAGGGTAAAACTGGCAAGGTGAGTGCCCCCCCACCCCCCTCAGTTTACCCACCGACAGGGAGGACTGTGTGGTACCTCGCAGACATGAGACCCAGCACCTCCAGAGGGGCAGGAGGCATGCACTTTAACAGTAAGGTTTTGGAGACTGTTGCCGAACAAAGAGACGTTGCCCTGCAGGGTTGTAGCTCCTTGAAAATGGGCAGCGAAGAAAATGTTTGGTACGCTTGCCTTTATTGGTCAGTGCGTTGAGTGTAGGAGTTGGAAAGGTCATGTTGCGGCTGTATGGGTAAGGCCACTGTTGGGAATACTGTGTTCGATCCCGGTCTCCCTGCTACAGGAAGGATATTGGGAAAGGGGTTCGGAAAAGGGATGTTGGAGGGTTTGAGCTACAGGGAGAGGCTGGGGCTGTTCTCCCTGGAGCTTTGGAGGCTGAGGGGGTGACCCTTATGGAGGTTTATAAAATCATGAGGGGCATGGATAGGGGTGTATAGACAAGGACTTCTCCCCAGAGGTAAGGGGGGTCCAAAACTGAAGGGGATAGGTTTAAGGTGAGAGAGGAAAGATTTAAAAGGGGAACCATTTTCACACAGAGGGTGGTGCGTGTGTGGAACGAGCTGCCAGAAGAAGTGTTGGAGGCTGGTACAGTTACAACATTTAAAAGGCATCTGAATAGGTGTATGGCTAGGAAGGGTTTAGAGGGATATGGGCCAAATGCTGGCGTACAGGGGTGAGTGGGTGGGTGTAGGCGTAAGGGGGGAGTGGGTATATGTATGGGCATGTGTGCGCTGGCGTGTGTGTGTGTGGGCGTGCATGCGCTTACGGGGGAGTGTGTGGTGTGTGTGCGGGCGAGCATGTGTGTGTGAGACTGAGGGCGTGCGCGTACGGAGGTGCGTCTGTGTTTGGAAGTTCTGTCTCTCAGCACCCTGCTCATGTTAGTTCTCTTTGTCGGTCTGTTTCTCTCTGTCACCCCACCCCCTCCCCCTCCCCCTCCCCCAATCTTCCCTCTCTCGCTCACTGCCTCCTCCACCATTGCTTGCTCCCCCATCCCGCTGTCCCCCTCCCACCTCTCCCTTAGGAGGGGAAGGAGCAGCTGGAGGTGAGTGGGAAGCGCCGATCAGATGGTGAGGAGGGGCCTCGCTGGAAGCTGGAGGAGGGCGGCCGGGCCAGGCCTGAGGATTACGCAGCTGGGCGCAAGAAGAGGAAAGAAAAGGATGGAGTGCTGGAGGCTGGGCCCAAGAAAAAGGTAAGGCATGGGACTGGGAGTTCCTGAGAGAGCCAGGGTGGGGGGCAGGGGTGGCTCCCCTGATCTCCTAGCTCCCCCGTCACTCTGTACACACTCACTGGTGTGTAGGTGGCTGGAGGAGGTTACAGAGTTAGAGAGGGCATCTGTGGGCAGGGAGAGCGGGTGTAGGGGACAGGGAGTGGGTGTGGGGGCTGGGGGAGGTGGCGGGGGGAGCAGGCGCAGGGGCCGCGTGGAGCGGGCGGGGTAGCGGGTGTAGGGGCCGGGGGAGCGGGTGTAGGAGGTGCTGACCCCTCTCCCCGTGTTCCAGAGGCTGAAGAACACCCGGGGGCCAGAGGGCACGGCGCTGAGCACAGAGAGGACCCACCAGCGCGAGAAGCTCGAGCACTTCAAGAGGATGTGCCAGATGCTGGAGCGTGTGAACCCGGCCCAGAGCTCCAGCTCTAGCTCCAGCTCGGACTCGGACTCAGACTCCCAGGGTTCGGAGGAAGAGGAGGAGGAAGAGGGAGCGGAGGAAGAGGAGGAGGAGAGCAGCGACGGTGGAGGCGGGGCTTCCGGCACCAACGGCAGCTCCCGTCGGCCACGCGACCATCGCGTGACAGCAGCCTCCCTGCTGGGCTTCAGCGAGAGTGAGGAGGAGGAACAGGAGGAGGACGAGGGAGCCGAGGAGGAGGAGGAGCTGGCGGATCACTCCCACCGACCGGCCCCCTACACCGCGTCCCGCAACGGCAAGGCCAAGGGGCGCGAGCCCTGGCAGGGCAAGGAGAACCAGCACGCTGCTCGCCACCCACGGGGCCGGGCCCAGTCCGGCCGCAAACCCCCCAGAACGCCCGGCGCTCCTGGCCTGCGAGTCGCAGCCCGCACCCAGTTCCTCAACCGGCCCCCGGTCTGCTCGCCGCCCCGGCCCCTACTGATGGAGCGCCATGTGGTGAAACCGCCTCCTGACAGCCCCGAGCCCGACTCACTGCCCCTGGAGACCGGCGCCGACCATGTCCTGCAGAGGCACGCCTGGCTCGCTGTCTTCCGTTACCTCAGCCACCGGGACTTGTGCGTCTGCATGAGGGTGTGCCGTACCCTCAACCGCTGGTAAGGAGCACGCCAGCCCACGGGGCTGCCTGTTAACTGCGCCTCCTTTCTCCTGTCTCTTCCTCGTAGGTGTGAGTGTATGCTTTAGCTACTCTCCTCCTTTTGGTTTTGCTTCCAATTCAACGGAAGCCGGAGAGGGTTAATGTTCGATGTTTATTTGTTTGTTTCGCGAGCGGCTTGGTTGCGAGGGTGGTGGGGAGACATCACGGTTACCTGTGTTGGACGTCGCTTGAGCACACTGGTGCCAAAATCCTTCCTTGAGTGTCCCCTGGGGATTGGCAAAACGTGGATTTGGAGTTGATTTCCAAGAGATAGGAGGAGACGTGCTCTTGAAGCTCATTATGTTGCCTTTGACATAAAGGGAGCCAAGTGTGGTGTCAGGGAATCCTAACAAAACTTTATTGACTAAGAATCAGGGAACAAACTCTCCGGTGGTTGGAGTCATAGCTGACACATGGGAAGGTGGGACAACAAGGTGCAGGGCTGGATGAACACAGCAGGCCAAGCAGCATCATAGGAGCAGAGAGGCTGACGTTTCGGGCCTAGACCCTTCATCAGAAAAGGGGGAGGGGAAGGAGGTTTTGAAATAAATAGGGAGAGAGTGGGAGGCGAATAGAAGAGGGATAGAGGAGAGGATAGGTGGAGAGGAAACAAACTGGTCGAAGAGGCGGGGATGGAGCCAGTAAAGGTGAGTGTAGGTAGGGAGTTAGGAAGGGGATAGGTCAGTCCAGGGAGGACGGACAGGTCAAGGGGGCGGGATGAGGTTGGTCGGTAGGAGATGGAGGTGCGGCTTGAGGTGGGAGGAGGGGATAGGTGGGAGGAAGAACAGGTTAGGGAGGCAGGGACGAGCTGGACTGGTTTTGGGATGCGGTAGGGGGAGGGGAGATTTTGAAACTTGTGAAATCCACATTGATACCATTGGGCTGCAGGGTTCCCAAGCGGAATATGAGTTGCTGTTCCTGCAACCTTCGGGTGGCATCGTTGTGGCACTGCAGGAGGCCCAGGATGGACATGTCGTCTGAGGAATGGGAGGGGGAGTTGAAATGGTTCGCGACTGGGAGGTGCAGTTGTTTGTTGCGAACCGAGCGTAAGTGTTCTGCAAAGCGGTCCCCGAGTCTCCGCTTGGTTTCCCCGATGTAGAGGAAGCCACACCGGGTACAGCGGATGCAGTATACCACATTGGCAGATGTGCAGGTGAACATCTGCTTGATGTGGAAAGTCTTCTTGGGGCCTGGGATGGGGGTGAGGGAGGAGGTATGGGGGCAGGTGTAGCACTTCCTGCGGTTGCAGGGAAAAGTG